GTCGAATCGAATCCGATCCTGATGCGGACGGATCGGGATTCGGATTTATCGGATCCGACGCCACAGCTCTATATTATAAAAATACGCAGAGACGTATCTCGTATCCCCACGGGTGCGTCGTGCGCAGTGCGTGTATTGATCGCTATGACGCGGTAGCTCGCATTTATCGCGTGACGCGGCTGCTCGCGTTGATTGTGTTCGAGTCGCTAACGTAATGCTAGCACAGATGTGCGCGGATTGTGAGGGGGGGTATTGATCGTGCGTGACGTAGGCAGTAACGGCAGGGTGTTGGCTCGGCGGAAAAACGGCAAATTGATAGCGCGAAAAAGGGGAAAGTAGGGGTAAAATGTAAGTGATGCAGTGATGAGAGAAGGCAATAGGGGCGTTGTAGCGGGGCGAAAAGGTTGAGGGGAACAAAACAGCGAGCGTGACGCACAGCCGCACGTCTAGCGGCAAAGCTGGCGGCAATTTATTGCGCGCACCGACGAATTTAGACAACGAAAACTCGTAAAAAGAAAAAGCGTGTAAAGTGAAACGTCGCACTTGCGTGATCATCTTGGAGACAATGCGCTACAATGGTTTCGGTAGTTGACTCGGTGGCGGCAGACAGGTTGCCGTACTCACAGTTTAATCACGGATAAAACACGCTGGCTTAGAGAAGAAAACGTATGATTGAGAACCGAAAAACCGCTAGTCACGAGCATCAATCTAAGGACGCACCGCGCGTCTCCCTCTCCAGGTTCTCGGTCTAACATGTGTGAGGTAGTCACCTTAAGGGTAGCGTATGGTCACGTCGACGGGTAACACGAACACCGTATTACAAAAGCTACTCTCCGTGCGTTTTATTACACCACAGAATATTCGTCACAGGTGGCCTGCACTTTAACAGCCTAAACAAACAACTCTACGATACTAAACAGATGTCTACAAACGCCGACCAAATACGTAACCGAATACAAGTAACCTCGTACCTTAAGACGTGGATCGCGAAGTAGCTCGGCGACGTGAAGGTGGTGGGAGGAAGGGGGATTGAAGGAATAGGTGTAGGAGACAAAGGGAGTATCACGAGATTGGACAAACTGGACTATGCGGTTGAAAGGATGAGGGCCGAGTCACTAGCTTCGAGTTTAGCATCCCCAGATCCGTTTGACTAATAAATGACGCAGGCGGCTTTTGGCGGGTAACACCAATAGGATATGGCGTGATTTATGGTGATTGCTTACGCCGTGCCCTTCCGTGCGATAGCTCATATAGAATCATGGGAAATTATAAATGTAAATAATATCTGGAGAAGCCTGCGCTTTCCCACACATGTCTGCTCATTTATCACTAAAATTACAAATCCAGATGAGGAGCTCTCTCTCTCTCTCTCTCTCTCTCTTAGACACGCACGCACGCACATAAGCACAAACGCACACACACACTGTCATCCACATGCTGTAAATTTACGTGCTGTACTGTTCAGTGTTGTGACAATAATGATGACTGAATAATGTGCGATCAGTGATCATAATAATGCGTCCAGGTACTGATTACAGTGAAATTAGCCCAGTTGATTTTAATGACTCTTTTGTGAATTTTCACAGATAAAACAACAACAACCGAAAATGAACAGATGAACACAGATCCATACGCTACAATAATATTCTACATTAGCATACCTAATTTCTTATTATCATACCTCATTATCATACCTCGGAATCAATATTTTCTTTGGCTGACTCTTCAGGAAACATTGGTTACTCGGGGAGACAATCTGCAATACCTTCCAGGTCAGTCGTTATTTTTACAGTGACACGCATTGCTGCATGTTGATATTCACACAAATTTCCCAGGAGAAAATGACAATATGCCTACAAATGCAAACCTACATGATATAATACACCATATGTATATAATATTATACCATTGTATTTAGTAAGTAAGTAAAAACTAAATGCCGGTAAAGCATTTTAAGTGCAGACCCAATGAATTTGTACAGTGTCGTGGCCTAGATGACTATCACAACCCCAGCTATCGCATCCTGGGCTGTAGAAGAAAAATAGATCGAGGTAGTGACGATCATTGCCCCAGCTATTAGTGAAGGCTTTAATGGCCATTTGGGCCACTGTAGTACAGACCTATCTTGTGCATGGCCGTCGCAGATTTATACAAAATTTATCTGGTAATTCTGTGTTGCACAGTTGGACGATGAGGCAGAACCGAACGCGTTGGAGCAAGAGGGACAGCTGCGGTTCGTTGCCCACGTTCCCGTTCCCTCGTCTCTATGATGTCTTGGAGTCTAGTTATTCAAAATAAACAAATTTCATTGGCGGCGATCTTGAAATCCAATATGGCCGCCATCCTATGCTTTTCTAGGTGTCATAATTCTGTTCTCCACTATCGAAAATGTGGGTTTAGACACCAAAATTATGTCTCTACGACGTCTAATTAGAGTCTAGTTATTCAAAATGAACTCCCCAAGTATCCCAGAAATGATATTTACTCGTTTCCAGCCTCTACCCAAAAAGTTTAGGGTCATCCTTATTTTGGATATCTGCCCCCTGACTAATGTGAGTTAGCCGACGTCTCCGAATAAAGCCGTTCATTCCCAAATTCCTGTGTTTATCGATTTACTGTGAGTGCTCCCATGAAGGCATAATAGTCAGCCTTCACAGTGACGCCCGTACGTGGGGCAGTTTTGATTTCCAAACAAAGGAATTCTGCCTGAATCCAAATCGGAGGAGCACTCGATTTCACGCAGGTGATTTCTTGGGGGCCGCCATGTTCCGTGCTATTCTTTGTTATGATCGACGTAATTTCTGTGCCATTGTGAGTCAAGTAAATGATGTCAACGCCTAATAAAGGTTTCTATTACTATAGATAACATAGGGTTTTCCAGTTTATGCTACTCAGTTTCAAGATCAGAGGCTGTAATAACCGGTTAATACATGTTTTGTGACTAGGTGGTATGTTCTAATTTGCGTAATTTGACGTCACTCGCTGAACCCAGCAGTGCGCAAGTAATATGGCAGGAATGCAACTAAAACTATGTGTACGAGAAATCACAAGCCGTTCCTCGCTGCTGATATGTCAGTAGCAAGTATTGTACATACGTATATATATATTGAGCAGTCTCTATAGTACCTGTGTTCACTGCCAGCATTTCGCAGATTGGCTCGGAGCTATTTGATCTCTGTAGCTATAGTCTGCTTATGGTAAGATGACCTGAGGCACGTTATACGTGTGTCATCGAGAGACAGAACTTTATATTATTATTATTATTATTATTAGATAACAGTTTGCATATGTGTGCGTGTATAAGTTTACGTATGTGATTCCAAAATTATCTAACCTGCCAATCAAACATAAAATAAAAAATTATTATAGTAATTGTGTTACGTAACACCCTAAATCAAGATGGCCACTGCACGCCCAAAACTAAAGGAATTTTTGGGCGAGTCCAGCGAGGATTTTACCTTGTGGTTCAAGCGATTTAAACTATTTGTGCCGATAGCACCACCTGATGCTGCCCCTGCAGTCCCCCGACGCCATCTAGTCCTTCCCCTATATTTAGCGGGTAGGGCTTTTATGACCTACAACAGTCTGCCAGCAGAGACCAAGCTGAATTATGAACGGACACGCCAGGCACTGAAGGAGAGACTGGACCCGGGAGAGCATGCCTTGATCAGGCGTCAGGAGTTCATGACCCTCAGTCGTGAGACGGTAAGTTACGGGTTCTCCGTAAGGCGGCGACAGCATTCCAGAATTTTCCAGAACAACATAGAAACACGATGGCAAAGGAGCAGTTCATGAGGGGGGTAGAAGATGCACAGCTTCAGCTGCATGTCCTGACCCAAAACCCTGACACGATACGCCAGGCGGTGCAATTAGCGAGACGGTATGTACAGGTGAGGAAGGCTATGACCCCTCAACCTGTCGCACAGGAACCAGCCATCTGCCAGGTCTCGCGGGATGAAGGGTTTGCCTCTCCTGCCACGGCAGGGGATGAAAGCACCAGTCTGATGGATGACGTCCAGAAGCTGACTGAACAAGTACAGCTCCTGATAAGGAACCAAAACTCTGGCCGTGGACGTACCAGCGGACTCGGCGGTTGAGGAAATCGCCATGGACCAAGCCAAGGTTGTGGTCAAAGTCAAGGTCAGAGATGTGGAGATTAGTCCAACCAGGTTTGGAATCGAAATGGTTCAAATGATCAGCGAGTGCAACCAGGCAAGTCTGGGCAAGTTTCGCAACCATGGGGTTTCCGTCTTGCGAATCAACAGCAAGCTCAATTCAATGACCGATTCGACGAACATTGCTACAATTGCGGCAAATACGGACATTGCAGCGCTGACTGCTGGGGTACCTCGCAGTCCGAAAACTAGTATATGCTGTGGATGAGGGTCGCTCTGCAGCCAAGAAGAGAAGGAAGAAGACTCCAAAAATTATTCCAAGGGTTCTGATGAACGTGGGCAATCAGGGGATACCATTGTTGTTAGACACTGGGGCGGAAATCTTGCTGATGCGCAAAGATGAATGGGATTTGTTTTCACCAGGGGAAAAAGGAATGTTGTCTGAAGAACCAACAGTAATACGTTCGGTGTCTGGAGACAAGTTGTCTTGCCTTGGAGCCGCGACAGCACCCGTTCGACTAGAACCTTTGAGTTTGGAGTATCCCTTCCGGATAATGTGAGGCATCGACAGTCCAGTCATTTTGGGCTGGGACTTCATGATGGAATATGCCGTTACAGTCAACCCCAGTGGAAGGAGGTCTCCATCCAGGGTGAACCTTTCCCACTACTAGAGGCTGTATTGATTCCGACAACAACAACAGCAAGAGCCCTGAAGGCCACCACTATTCCAGGAAGAACGGAGGTCATCATTCCGGCGTACTTACCTCATGGTCCAGGATTTCCGAAACTGAAGTATGAAGGGATCTTAAAACCGAGCAATCCCCAGGACTAATCGAGTCCCGTATCGAGGTAATGGTGGAAAAATCGTTAATTTCAGTGCGGATTATGAATCCGGAACCAGAGCTGCTGGAAATTGGCAAGGGCACGTGTCTCGGAGATTTCCATTGTCTTGGAGGTTCACAATCCAACACGGCGACACGCACGTATGAGCTAATAGAAGAATACAAACCAGAGGGCGAAGAAGGTAGCGAAACAGAGGCAGTCGACAGTGAAGGGATTCCCTCCGTTTATTTGTCTGGGTGTAAACTCAAGAAGAACTAGATGCCACGTCTGAAGTCCCTCTTGAAGAAATACAATAGCGTTTTCAGTAAAACACCAAACGATCGAGGATTCACGGATCTCGTGGAGCACCGTATTGATACGGGAGATGCCCAACCTATCAAGCAGGCACCACGTAGGGTTCCTTTCCACTTGCGGGACGAGTTGGAAGAGCAAGTACGTGATATGTGGGAAGATGGGGTTGTGGAGCCTTGCTCCGGTCCCTGGTCATCTCCAGTGGTCCTAGTGTAAAAGAAGTCTGGTGCGTTCCGGTTTTGTGTGGATTACCGGAAGCTGAATGCTGTTACCAGAAAGGATGCCAACCCTCTGCCCAGGATTGATGACTCGCTAGCATCTATGTCGGGTGCTGCATTCTTCAGCAATCTTGACTTGACCAGTGGTTACTGGCAAGTCCCTGTCAACAAGGACCATCGAGACAAGACGGCCTTCTTGATTGGGACGAACTTGTATTATATCAAGAGATTTCCCTATGGGCCCTGTAATGCACCTCCGCTGTTCCAGAGATTGATGGAGTTGGCATTCGCTGACATGAGCTGGGAGGTCATGCTGACGTATCTTGATGATCTGGCAATTTTCACGAAGACATTTGATGAGCATCTGGAGGTCCTAGAAGAGGTCTTTCAACGCCTACATAAGGCCGGGTTGAAGCTCCAGCCCAGCAAGTGTAATCTCTGCAAGGACCAGATCATCTTTCTCGGACACCACGTGAGCCGACTTGGAATCAAACCGGATCCATTGAACATCCAGAAGATAAAGGACTGGTCCGTGCCGAAGACGGTGAAGCAGGTACAGAGTTTTGCCGGCCTGGCTTCGTACTATCGTCGTTTCGTGGAGGGATTTGCAAGTCTGGAGCTCTACGGACACACTACGCGGCTGAGCCGGGCGACTCTGTGGATTTTCAGCACGCTTCATCTCGCGCCACCTAGATTGATAGTCACTTGATTGTAAATAGCACCGTCCCGTGAAGCAAAACGAAAAATAGCTATAACTTTTATCTATTTTGTTGCTCCTACGAAAAAACCGACGCCGAAGGAAGAGGTGGGAGAATCGGGTTGCGTGGGCCAAGATGTGGATACTGCGCCGCCAATCGCACGGCGTGTATAATAACTTGGTCAAGGAGCTGGCAGAGGAAGATGTTGGGGGATATAGATCCTATATGCAAATGTCGCCAGGAAACTTTCAGAAGTTGTTGGGCATCGTTTGGCCGCGGATCACAAAGGAAGACACTAGATTGCGGCTGGCAATTAGCCTTCAACAGAGGCTGGCATTGACGCTAAGATTTTTGGCTACAGCACAGGTATGTTGAAAAGCTGTTAAAGTTAAGATAACTTTATGACATATGTAATGATCATGTATGCACAAAGTCAAAAGTGAAAGTAGTGTAGTCAATGTACTAGTAGCAATGTACGGTACCATCATGATTCGTTGTATAAATCAAATTTCTTATTTTATTTGTCATCAAGGACGCAAAATTCTACANCGGCGTGTATGTGAACACATTTGGGACTAACAGGGTTTACTAGAATCCCACCACTCCACCACAGAGTCACCGCAGTAGACGTTAGATGAGCGCTGTCGCTCCGCGGCACTTGTTTTATTGATACTTTCCAAGTGCCTGTGCATACGCCGACCACACATGTTCATTTTTGTACGTATTGCAGTGACAGCAGACATGGCCATTCGCATTGTTTCACTCATTATATGAAGAGAATAAAATATTGGTAATGTGGTAAATGATGCTGGGATCAATGACGTATAATAATAGTAATTAAAAGTTGCATGAAATTTATTTCATAACATTTACATTAAGTTAACCAACACTACTAACATTACTAACATTACTAACACTGTGTCAAGTCACAGATGAGTAAAAATTGAAAATTAACACGAAACAATAGGTGCGTTCACACTGGCGCGAATTAGAGGGCTGCAAAACCCGGTTTTTGTAGCTCGCTAGAAAAACTGAGCTTTTTACAAGTGTGAACGCAATTAGCTCACTAAATCGCGCTCCAAATAGCCCGCTCCTAAGACCACTTCCGACTGGGCTAATTTGGAATCAGCTCACTTATTTGCACCACGGCGTGATATTTGCACCGCTGCGATTACCGAGATATTCGCCTGTGTGAACAACGACACAATTAGCTCACTATTATCTCCGATATTAGCGGGCTGAGCAGCGCGGTTTTTCTTGTGTGTGAACGCGCCTATTGTGTTGTTAAACACGTGATGTTATACTTTGTATCAAGCAAGCCAGACAAAATACAATGCGTCTAGACATGTACGTTTGCAGCGTATTGTGCAACCCTGGCCGTATGTAAAATGAACGCGCGCATTACGAATATAAATTTTTTTATAGAGGTTGGACACCGTGGACAACCACGGAAGCAATTTGTAGTTGCCCGAGAGAAAATCCAGTTGTCACGGACGACCGGACGACCGTTAAAATTGAGCCCTGATTAGTGTTTTTTAAAGGGACAGTAGCCTCTAGGATTTTACTGCATACAACTGTACTTACTGTATAACAGTTCTATAATACAGTCTATACCCACACGTATTTGTTACCAGATACCTAATTTAATTGTTATAATTAATTACACATCAACGCTACGAAATTTGAACGGCGCCATGACACCCGCGACCGTGCTGCCACCCCGAAAAAGTTGCGTATTTGACAATTTATTTTGCACGTTACAGACCGAGGGCTAATCACAAAAGTGCAATTATATTTATACCTAAATGCTATTTAACCGAATGATATTCATTTTAGGGCAAATTTATCCATATTATAACTGAAACTATATGTCGTTTATAAGATATTACAATCCTTTTGCTTTTAAATGAATTATGTAGAATATTTTGATAATTGATCTTAATCAATAATTTTCATTTATTCTTGCAGGTGAATCGTTTCACAGTCTCAGCTTTTCATACAGAGTGGGGTGCAGTACAATATCACTCATAGTAGATGAAACTTGTACAGCCCTATATGATACAGTGAAGGACGTCTATATAAAGGTGATTGTTTTATTGCAAAAAAAATGATTGTCTGATAGTACATTGAACGAAAAAAAATTAAACAAACAAACAAACACGAACAAATTAAACGATCGCGAAATATACAGCTTATACAGTAATTTCTATACAATCTTATTTAACTAGGATATATACTGATTTGTGTCACTGACCAACTTTATGCGTACATGTACTTTAAATTCTAAAAGGCTTCACTATACTAAACAAAAATCTCATCAAACATCAAACATCAAACATCAACATCAACATTAACCATTATAAACTTCCATTGAGTCACTCAGTACATTATACAGTGGGGCATGATTATATGGCTGAAGGGGGGTGGGCATTCCATACCTACATTGAAGTGAGAGGTGCGGCTGGCAAAAATTTCCCCATTTCTACCTCATGTACTTCGCAGTTTATTTTGTGTTTGAGTATAACGAAAGTTTTTGGGTCGAATTTCGATAGTGTTTTGGCTAAGCAATTGCAGAAAGATTCAACTTCCGATTCTTCTTTTTTATCCGATTTCAAGTACGCTTTGAGACTTACTAGACCCTCTACTTCGGCTTCATCCCTTTTTCTTTTACTGGAGTTTTTTTTCTTTGCCAGTTTGTTTGTTTCTTTTGATACTGTAATTACAGGCGTAGATACCCTCGATGGACCAGATAGATTTACGTCCTCGTTACCCTTTGCACCTTCACATCTACTCTCATCTTCCTGGCTATCATCTTCTCTATCATCTTCTTTATTATCTTCTTTATCGTATTCTCTATCGTCTTCTTGAATCTGCAAAGATTAGTTAGCATTAGCAGTGCTCAATTTTAAGGTTTTTTTTTGGGTTGTCCGGAGGACAACCAAGAGAGTAGCATATGGTTGTCCCTCAAGAGATTTGGTTGTCCGGATATTATTTAAACATGTGCTGCATGCGCTCTGCTTCCTCGCTTGCGTATGCTCAGTGGATTAACAGCAAAAGCTCTATCATACATGTACATTTTGTACTATTGCAGTGACAGCAGACATGGCCATTGCGCAATTGTTTCACTCATTATATGAAAGAATAAAATATTGTAATGTGCTAAATATCTGGGATCAATGACGTATAATAATAATAGTAATTAAAAGTTGCATGAAATTTATTTCATAACATTTACATTAAGTTAACCAACACTATACTAACATTACTAACATTACTAACACTGTTCAAGTCACAGATGATAAAAATTGAAAAATTAACACAAAAACAATAGTGCGTTCACACTGGCCGCGAATTAGAGGCGCTGCAAAAACCGTTTTTGTAGCTCGCCTAGAAAAAACTGAGCTTTTTACAAGTGAACGCAATTAGCTCACTAAATCGCGCTCCTAAATAGCCCGCTCCTAAGACCACTTCCGACTGGGCTAATTTGGAATCAGCTCACTTATTTGCACACAGCGTGATATTTGCACCGCTCCGATTACCGAAAGATAATATTCCCTGTGTGAAACAACGATCACAAGTTACGTCACTATTATCTCCGATATTAGCGGCTGACAGCGCGGTTTCTTGTGTGTAAAGCGCCTATTGTGTTGTTAAACACGTGATGTTAACTTTTATCAAGCAAGCCAGACAATGCTGTCAGACATGTACGTTGCAGCGTGATTGTGCAACCCTGGCCGTATATAAAATGAACGCGCGCATTACGAATATAAATTTTTTTAAGAGAGTTGGACACCGTGGACAACCACGGAAGCAATTTGTAGCATTGCCCGAGAGAATCGTTGCGCCGGATTGCCACCCTTCCTCGATCATGACCTGTCATGAACCGTGAGATAGTCTCGGCACCGCGGCACATGGTCCCTATTATGTTTTTTAAAGGGACAGTACCTCCGTTATGAATTTAATTCCTTGGCGGGCTGCATCACAACTGTAACTACTGTAAGTCTATAATACAGTCCTAATTACTCACCACCGCTGGCGGGTCGGTCCTTTCTTGCGGTTTGGTGG